ATAGTTTTCACAAATTTGAGCAAAAAATATTTTCGATCTACAAAAAAAGGGGAATGCCTCTTTAATGAAAACTTTTAGATCAAATTGCATGACAATAAACAGTATCACCAAAAATAATATATATATTTCAGTCTGTGTTTTTTTTTTTTGTTCAAATAATCTTTATTAATTTTAACCCTGGCCAATGCTCTTACTGACATCCCCCACAATGCACTTTGAGAATAATTTTCAAGCAATCACATACCAGTAACACATATTGTTCGAGAATCATGTCCAATCTAACACATTTTTTACAGTGTTAGGATTAATGTTAAATATCTCTGATTTGTCCTTGACAATAATTAACACTTACGTTCTATCAAATTTGTTGCCAGTCTATGGGCAAAATGTACATATACAATGTTTATCAGAATGCGTGGGTTGATGTATTGACTTAATTTTAAGCTCCCCATTACATTAAGCTCTAAGTTTCATGTTGAAAAGTCAAGATCTTGATCTTTTGGATATTCAATATTAATTCATTTATCACATTTTATATGTGTATGTATTTCATCATTCCTTAATAATTTTATTAAGCTACTCAACCTGTTGAATAGGCTAATGCTACATTCCATACTTGCTGTGAAAACAGTGTACACAACTTTCTCGCAAATCCGAAAAACCACTTTTGAACATTCTCCTGACTGCTTGCTAAATACAAGTTTTACTGTATTATATTTCTGATGACGGTGTGAGAACCACATTGAAACATTGAAAATACTATCTATTATATTCCTGATGACAATGTGAGAACCACACTGAAACATTGATAATAATATCGATTATATTCCTGATGATGGTGTGAGAACCACATTGAAACATTGAAAATACTATCTATTATATTCCTGATGACGGTGTGAGAACTACATTGAAACATTGATAATACTATCTATTATATTCCTGATGACGGTGTGAGAACTACATTGAAACATTGATAATACTATCTATTATATTCCTGATGACGGTGTGAGAACCACATTGAAACATTGAAAATACTATCTATTATATTCCTGATGACTGTGTGAGAACCACATTGAAACATTGATAATACTATCTATTATATTCCTGATGACTGTGTGAGAACCACATTGAAACATTGATAATACTATCTATTATATTCCTGATGACGGTGTGAGAACCACATTGAAACATTGATAATACTATCTATTATATTCCTGATGACGGTGTGAGAACCACGTGAAACATTGATAATACTATCTATTATATTCCTGATGATGGTGTGAGAACCACATTGAAACATTGGTAATACTATCTATTATATTCCTGATGACGGTGTGAGAACCACATTGAAACATTGATAATACTATCTATTATATTCCTGATGATGGTGTGAGAACCACATTGAAACATTGATAATACTATCTATTATATTCCTGATGATGGTGTGAGAACCACACTGAAACATTGATAATACTATCTATTATATTCCTGATGACGGTGTGAGAACCACATTCCTGATGACTGTGTGAGAACCACATTGAAACATTGATAATACTATCTATTATATTCCTGATGACGGTGTGAGAACCACATTGAAACATTGAAAATACTATCTATTGTATTCCTGATGACAGTGTGAGAACCACATTGAAACATTGAAAATACTATCTATTATATTCCTGATGACAGTGTGAGAACCACATTGAAACATTGATAATACTATCTATTATATTCCTGATGATGGTGTGAGAACCACATTGAAACATTGATAATACTATCTATTATATTCCTGATGACAGTGTGAGAACCACATTGAAACGTTGAAGTAATAAATATTCTAGAAGTATCTATCCATATAATTGTCTTATTTATCTATAACTTGTGCTTCTAATATGCCTTTTGAAAGATTATTAAGTTTTACTGTAGTTTTATATCCTACATTTCTGACCAAAATTGCACTAATGAAGATGAGCAGCACCACGAGGAACAGTTGGAATAGCCTTTTTTAAAATAATAATCAAATATTTAAAATGTAGCTCATATACCAATGGCTTGAAGTATTAAAAACAATATACATTACAATATCTGAAGGTCAAGATGAACTCTAACAGAATCTTTAACCTAGGATTAACTCAATATTACTGGTTATATTAAGCAATTGACCCATTTATCTAACACAAATGACCTACATGCAATCCTATAAATATGCTGTCTACTAAATATAACTTAATCAGTGAAGAGCATTATCAGGAAGCCTCTGCTGGACTCAGAAATTAAGCTTTTTTTTCCAGCAGCATGATTAGATAATAACTATCATGGAATATCATAATAACATTTTCAGATTTCCATAGATTGAATTACGCTCGAGAATTACGCATCAGATCTTCTTTCGCAATATACATACATGTAGGGGCGATATATGATGACATATAAATGGATCAGGGCTATAACACTATCCCTGGGGTAGATATACAATCAAGAAAATGGAATGGATTTACATATGTTGCAACATGCACCTTTTCTGAGAAAAAACCTTGACCAAAAACTGATTACCACTTTTGTGTGTATTTTTTTTCCAACTATTAAGCTATCTTCACAATGTCAAGCTATTACAAACTTCATCTTATACCTTGACATCATAAGGCACTTGTTTTCAATCACACAATTCACTAATTTGATTGTACACCATTGAATACATCCAATCAGAGACCTTTAACTGATAGACTGTTAACATTCTATCTTATAGTTACAGACTTTATGTCGAAGGCTGTGATTGGCTGTGTACTCTAGTGTACAATCCAAACAAATCACTGTATTTATAAACTTCTGTGATACAAGAAAGGTTGCTAATGATGTGAAGGTGATAGCTTTACATTGTAAAGATGCTGTAAGGCATGTATCAAATAAACATTATTATCTGGTTTCTTTTGAATTTAAAGTATGAGAGACAGGTAACCTGTATTCATGAAATACAGTTGTATCCTACTTGTCCTTTGTAGTAGTTAAATGAAACAAGATATGCCATGAAGTATTCAATGAGGAAAATTTGACCATGAAAGCACTTATTTGTTGAGGGAACTTTAATATGATTAACTCTGCCCCAAACAAATGAATACAATTCATTGCTTTTTCATATCAGGCCTGAAACTGGCAACTTAAAAAGGGCTACCATTTTTTAAAGGGACAGATTTGCCTTCCATCTGAATGTTTGTACAGTCTCAGAAACTAGAATTTTTTAGCTGAGCCAATCATTAATAGTGTCCACAGCCCACTGTCAAAATTTGAGCCTTCAAATCCATGTGTGTTGAAAGTTAAATAGATGACATGCCTTTCTTAAGATTCAGTCATAGACAGAAAAGACATATATAGAAATAGAAAGTGAAATTACTAGTTTGAGGTATTTTCTAGTACTTCATATATTCAAGACCAAAATGTCCTAAAACAGCAAATCTGTCCCTTTAATATTACATCAAAGGTGTATTTTAACACTAGAAAGATCTTGATTAAAGAGCTATACTAACATTATCAATATCTAATCAGATAACAATTGGTATTACGTGACTAATATCTCAAACAGGTATGTCTCTCTGCAGGTCTACTTCCTAAATAGAGAAACTCTAACAGATTGTTTCAATTCTTATTTCCTGCTGATATTCGGTCATTTGTCCATTATATTTACTACTACGCAATATGATTTACGACCTTCATTGAACCCTTTCAATCTTATCAATGATTACAATAGACACGAACATCTTTCAGAGTAAAATGTGTCAAGTCAGAATCAGTCTCTGATAATAGAACAGTAAAACTCGATTCATTTCATTTCATTTGATAATAGAACAGAGTTGTCTTTGATTCTAGACTTTCTTTTTAGATATACTTTATTCCATTTGAATTATGGAATTTCTTTTATTATGGAATTGTAGCAGATATGGAATTTTAAAATATACTTAATATGTACATGTACATTAATGAGATTTCATTAAAGGAATAATAGAATGAACCAAAATTTCGATTATCAAACTTGGCCTGTAAGAGTATATTTATGACATTAGAGGTAAATTCACTGATATTCTTAATCGCCATGCTAAGAAGAAGTAGATAAGCATAGGTAGGAAGCATAGACAATATGCTGTAAGACATGCCCAAGAAAGTTGACTTTCTGACAAAAATGCTGATTCTAACCTACATAACAAAAATATTTAGGACATGAAAATAATGTATATTGTCTGCATGTAAATGTCATTTATAAATGATGTCATTGATATATTTCATTTGATCTCTCCTACCAATCCCAAATTTTAACTAATCTCAATTTCAAGCACACGTTAAGCATCTATCAAATATATAAGATAAATGGGAATCAGATTAATGATATTGATACACGAGTTGCATAAAGCAATGTGACTTTTACTGTAATTTTACAGTGCTTTAACCATCTTATTGTGTTCTTATAATGATTGCGTTCTTATAATGATTGAGTCCTTATAATGATTGAACTTGAGTAATGATTGAGCTTGTGTAATTTCTTGATTGTGTTCTTATAATGATTGAGTTTGTGTAATTTCCTGATTGTGTTCTTATAATGATTGAGTTTGTGTAATTTCCTGATTGTGTTCTTATAATGATTGAGTTTGTGTAATTTCCTGATTGTGTTCTTGTAATGATTGAGTTTGAGTAATTTCCTGATTATGTTCTTATAGTGATTGAGTTTGTGTAATTTCCTGATTGTGTTCTTATAATGATTGAGTTTGTGTAATTTCCTGATTGTGTTCTTGTAATGATTGAGTTTGTGTAATTTCCTGATTGTGTTCTTATAGTGATTGAGTTTGTGTAATTTCCTGATTGTGTTCTTATAATGATTGAGTTTGTGTAATTTCCTGATTGGTTCTTATAATGATTGAGTTTGTGTAATTTCCTGATTGTGTTCTTATAATGATTGAGTTTGTGTAATTTCCTGATTGTGTTCTTGTAATGATTGAGTTTGAGTAATTTCCTGATTATGTTCTTATAGTGATTGAGTTTGTGTAATTTCCTGATTGTGTTCTTATAATGATTGAGTTTGTGTAATTTCCTGATTGTGTTCTTGTAATGATTGAGTTTGTGTAATTTCCTGATTGTGTTCTTATAGTGATTGAGTTTGTGTAATTTCCTGAGTGTGTTCTTGTAATGATTGAGTTTGAGTAAAGTCCTGATTGTGTTCTTATAGTGATTGAGTTTGTGTAATTTCCTGAGTGTGTTCTTGTATTGATTGAGTTTGAGTAAATTCCTGATTATGTTCTTGTAATGATTGAGTTTGAGTAATTTCCTGATTATGTTCTTATAATGATTGAGTTTGTGTAATTTACTGATTGTGTTCTTATAATGATTGAGTTTTTGACCTGATGGATTTCCTGTAATGACCTGATTGAGCTCCTGTAATGACCTGATGAATTTCCTGTAAAGGCTTGATTGTGTTCCTGATGGGATTTCTGTAAGGACCTGGTGGATTCCTGTAATGACCTGATTGAGCTCCTGTAATGACATGATGGATTTCCTGTAAAGGCTTGATTGAGTTCCTGATGGGATTTCTGTAAGGACCTGGTGGATTTCCTTTAAATATCCAGACTGAGCTCCTGAAATGACCTGATTGAGTTTGTATAATGGCCTGACTGAGCTCCCATAATGACCTGATTGAGTTTGTGTAATGATCTGATTGAGCTCCTGTAATGACCTCATGGAGTTCCTGTAATGACCTGTTTGAATTTCCAGCATACATGCCTGAAATGCTAACTTTTCAGGTGGATTTCAATTGTGCTGGAACTTATATGATGAACATTGTCTATCACGTTACATATACTGTTAACTTTAAATACAGAACTTGATTTAATATGTGACTTTCAGTCCAGAAAGCAGATAACAAGATACAGAGAAAAAGGTCAAGTACTTTGGTTAATTCTTTTAGTACAGACAGGTCATTGTTCTGTACAAGCACTAAATGCCTGTAGAAGTCTATAATAAGATAATATTATATATTAGATCAGTATCTATGTATAAAAGTCGGAACAGGAACACTCCAGAAGTAATATCTAGAAGTATAAGGTCAATTTTATGGTCCGCATTGTTGACAGAACTCTCTAGTTTCAGGAGATTTTATTGTTACCATATGGTCATTGACTTTATGACATCTGCAAATGCAAAATACATTGTACATGAATATATACACTAAATAGAATTGAGTTTGATATCTTATGTTTCTATACCATCCCTGAGTAAAAAATATTGTAAATAGGTTTTATGTTGGTAAAATTTGGTGAGCAGAAGGGCAAAAACTGATTTTGAAATGAAATGAATGAAGGGAAATTTTGCCAGGACAGCTAAATTAGCCTGCGCTTTTTCGATTTCCAACTGTCAAAGGATCTTTAACGTGCCAAGCCTGTAGCACACAGAGCCTCAGTTTATTGTCCCATCCGAATGACTAGACGCTTTTTCCATGTCAGCCCCTCTTACCTGACAGGAAAAATCCAAAGGTATCATCTCGACCTAAGCTGGGATTGAACCCAGGTTAGTGAGCAAGCGTCTAACTCAATGAGCCATCAAGTGCTTGCTGCCACTTTTCTTTCGTACCTATTGTATTGGTTATTTGGACTTCATTCATAACAAAGTTTTGTGTTGCATGTCACTATAGTATTAGATAATATAATACTTGAATGAAATGTTCCTACATTTGTTGACATTTTTACGGATGTGTCACACATTGTTGTTTATGATTATGAGGACAGAACTTGTAGGTGGAGGCTAACATAACATGTTTATTTCCTCTCAATTTTCAATCAGACAACACAATTTACCTAAAAATAGATTTCATTCATAGAATATTCCCACAACTTAAATCAAATTATAGCCTCTTAAAATCATTCTGTTGAAGTATTTGTAGGATTAAAACCATTCTGTATCTCCAGGCGCTTTGATTCCAGTCACAAATATACAGTTATCTTTCTACTCCTGCTCATCAAAACATCAATTACAATGCACTTCTTTACCATAAACAAGGTCAAACTGATCAGACCAAAGGATATTATATTCATATTATGTAATTATATTATTTAATGTTAGGCTACCGATTAGAGTCTTTTTCAATTAGACATAATTATATAATAATAATATATAACAAATTCCTTTAGTGAACATGTTGAATATAAACCTATTTGAAATCACCATCGTCATGTTTTTTAATTGTAGTGGAACTGTACTTAAGTTTATTATTCTAAAGCATGATACATGATAAAGAACTAATTTAATTTCTATCAACTGTTATAACAAATGTGAGCATATTATTTTAAGTTCAGTATTAAGATTTTTAAAAATGAAATGAATGGAATTTTAGGTCCTACTTTTCTGCAGCTTTCATCACTGGGTGAAAAATCTGAAGATATTATATATTACCTATGCTGGGATCTTACCCAGGAACTTCAGGTTAGCAAGACAGAGTCAAACTCACTGAACCACCACAGCTTCCACGAAACTTTTTGAGATACAAGGCCAAAACCCATAGTTTCAATGCATATATTTTTTGTATTTATTCATACCTATAGGAAAAGAAATATAAATCGAGGAGTATTCAAAGCCCTGATATTGATTTTCTGAAATTGTTCGATTAAAAAGACGTTTACACTAACACCTAGATAACTAATAAAGAAAGCCTCCCTCCCTCACTCTCTGTCATTCTTGAATTAACTCTGAATTATAGATTATTTTTATCTATTTTAGAAAGTACATGTACAGTAGTGTTGTTTCTAAGGATAATTGGTTGATATTGAACACTGTGTTATCAAATATCAGGTTCTATTGCTAACAAATTATTTACTACATTTCTGATCAAGGATTTTATAGAGGGGCTTTCAGAAATTTCTTCTTAGAATTAACCTCAATTCAAATGTACTATATGGGTTGTATATACAATCATCCAGCTGGGTGATACAAGGATCACGATACCATACAAATATGTCAATATCGATTATTGATACGCAATATAGAATAATGAGATAAAATTTAACACTTTATTTTCACTTATCTTCATTCATAACTTGATTTTGGTAATGTAGTTGATTGATACGATATGTATATCATGGCAGCTAGAGATTCACCAGGTTAATAAAGACCCTTGTCAAATTACCCGGCCCACTAATTACATTGCACATGTTATTGTTGTTATTAAGCAAGTCAAATTTGATTGGATTGTTTAAGAGATCATGTAGATATTTGAAATGAAATACATCATAGCAAAGCTGCAACCCATATTTCTCAAGGTGCTATTTTCATTGGTGAAACATTGGTTAAGAAAAACACCCATATCTGAAGTATGTATACTCTTAAGCATCAGTGAAATTTTCATGAAAATCATCTAATAACTAAATTTTCAATATTCATGGTAAAGTTAATATACAATACAAGACAATTACTCTTAAACTGTATTCACTTCCTTTAACCAGGATCAATTATATTCTAGTGCATTTAAATCAAGAATTTATTTTTTCTAAATATATATTGCCTTCCTACACATTCAATAAAACATTTTGAATTATTTAATAGGTGGCTTTTAAAACAGATAAGACCCCACAAAGCTTTTGAAGAATTCTTATATGAGCTATCTGTTAAACATTGTGTTAAATCTTATTAGAGAGAAGCAGATAAAATAAAGGAAATCCTAATCAAGAGTGAAAGAGAGTTATTTTTTCTTGTCACGTTTATTTAAGAAGTTAATACACACTGCTAGTTATAGGTCTGAATGACATGAACTGCATTACACCTAACAGCAACAATGAAGATATCAGTTCTCAATAGTAGCATGTTAAAATTTTTAAAAACTAGTTAAGTTCAAGTTTATGAATACAGACATTAATAATATTGAGCCATTCAGCAGTTGTTGCTCAAAATTTAACTAAAATATTCAAAATTGCCAAGGATTCAATAGAGTATAATAAGGACTTCACTGATCCTTGAATTTGCACTTGGATACACTGAATGATACTCATCCAATGATAAATGTTTCTTGTCATAATTATTGTGGTTCATTTCTTCTGTAAGCAAATAAATTTCCAAAATTTTAACAATAATAACACTGTATGCACACGTGCGAAAGAAATTTCAAGTTTTCAGAAATCAGAAATGATTGTTTTTACAAATTTTTATTCAAAAATTATACTTAGAAATCAATTCATGACACAATTTCTTCTACACATGAGGATTCTGTGTCATTTTTATTACAATGGCCAATAAATAAATACAAATACATCAAGAATATTTTTATCTAACGCAATGCATCAATAAATAAGGATGAATTGTGGGTCATCTATTCATCTATGAATTGCTGCTGTTTTAAGTACAATACAAGGTTGGTGTCACTTTGAAAACTTACATTATCTGTTTAGAACACATGACACTACTCTGCAACTGGGTTTCACAACTCAACTTCCATTTGAAGAGTCAGCCAGAACCATAATAACATTTTAGAAATATTCTCATTATCTCAAATCAACTAGATGTTATTACAAAATTGCCATCTATATGGCTTTGTGTGTTTTTAAAAGATCAATAGAACATATTAACAGTATTTCAGACAAGTTTACAGGTATAAGGTCAATAAAGTCATTGCCCTAAAGAATTAATTGACAATATATTTTCGTATTGTTTACATTTACAGACAATATGTATCTGTTTACTAATAAAGCCAGACAATATAGTGTTTATAATCCATATAGAATGCTTCCAAATTAAGATTAATATTTATATTATGCCAGTTGGTAACTTAATGACTGTTATGTTGTTTGTAACGTCATTTCTTGAATCATTACATCTATAAAATCTGGTCCTAACATTTCAATTTATAACATTATTTATGTATATTGAGGATCAACTTTTAGAAATAATCTTCTTTAGTCTAGTCATATTTGGATACAAGAACCAAAATATCAATAGCCATCAAAATTGAAACAGATTTGCTCATCAAATTATTTTCCAGCAGTGGAGAAAACCACTAGTAAGTTACAGAGTAACCTAACTATAGTAAACTGCCTTTTAGAAAACACTATCATTAACCTATCATTTCCGAAAACTTTTTGCATTTGGAACATGTACTATTAATCTAACTATAGGGATTGGAAATTTGTTTATGTGTATTGGAAAACTGATAGCATCTATTTGCACCATTCAAATTTTCAATCAGACGCTGTGGCTCCTGAAAATCTGCTAAAATGAAAAATATTTGGAATACAACTATTAACCT